ACATATCCACACTAGGCCATACCTACGTCATTTTGCTGAAAAACATGGAACAGAATTGGACAGTGGCTCTTTAACTGCCATTGTCGCAACTTTCCGCACAGATTTATGTTTCTATTTGACGGCCTCGGGCTTTCACGGTGCCTTTCCAAACTGCTAACGCTAAAGAGGCTGTATTGGTATTCATAATGACATATTTTATAACATGGACAGCTCTGGCCTTTTCCAGTTGAGCAGCTTTCCTTGTGCGTGTGACCTTTTTAGTTGTGACTTTTTGGAGGTTATTTACTTACAAAGTGACTGAGGCTCTGACGTCTCACTTGATTTTCTGTTTGATTTGGATTTTTAAAAAACAAAACAAAAAAGTTTATTTCTGCCGATTTAGACATATCCAGCCAGAACCACTCAGAAATACATGGGGATATAAGTGTAAAACTGTTGAATCCACTTGAATATGAAATAAAGAGCTCCTCAAACATCCACTTGTGTAAGAAAGACATCAGAGCAATAATAATGACATTGTTTCAAATGAATTAATAATATTATAGAAGGAGCGCTCCAGTCCATCTTTAGACAATTTGTGTGTTTTGTGTTCATCTTCTGCTCTTTTCAATTCTGTGGCTATAGACTACAATTATTTGAAATGCAATTTTATTGTGTCATGTAACATTATTTTACATTTTTAAATATTTAAGAACATACATACATACATACACACAACACACAATCATATATACACACAAACATACATACAGTACATACATACATACGTACATACATACTTGCATAAATACATACCATAGACTGTATATATTAACGGACATAGTCACGCCTATCTCCGCCGTTCTAACTAATGGGCCAAAAATTGGCTTTCATGGTGTGATTCAAAATGGCCGAGGGGGCTGGAAAATGTGAAAAAACACATCTGTGCATGCGTCAGCCGGCACGAGCCCCATCCATTTAAACGAGTGACTTCAAAATTTAAGAGTAAGTAAACTAGAGTGGTCCAAAAAAATTCACCCCCCTCAGCATTGACACACATGTGGAACGGAGCTTTGGGCCAAGAGCCAACTTTTGGTCCATCCTGTAAAGACGTTTTTGAGAGGTCTGCCAACGCTATATGTTAGCATTGGCTAATTCTTCTTCTGGGTCCACCCCCATCGGCCCCGGGTGGTATTACAAGCATGTCAGTGCACGTCATTTTGGCCACTTTTGAGCCAGGACCTGCCCCCACTGGTACATACACATACACAAAAGAGCAGCGAGAGAGAATTAATGTATAGAATACAAATCTAACAAATGTAAACAATAACTAACAGTGGCTCAGTTGGTAGCCCATTGGCTTTTGAGCCTGAAGGTCATAGGTTCGAACCCACAACGAGACCTACTTTACGACTCCCACTTATGTCTCCCTTGGGCAAGACACTCAACCCAGCTTTGCCAGAATCCCCGCTGAAAAATCAAGCCTCCTGTAGACGTGCCACCTGCAGGAGGACCAGTGAGGGGCTGTTGCTCTGTGAATTGGGTCCAACCCCCGACCCAGAAATGGATTAAGGTGAAGAAAATGTATGTATGGATGGAACTATTTATTTTATATGTTCAAAATCGCCCCAGCTCTCAATTTACCGCTCTTACTGACAGCGAGGAAGGCTGTGCTCTGCATCAGGGCTCAGATGAATTGTTTTTTGATTTGTATATACGTTACAGAGCTTTTAAAGGCCTGCGTAACGTAATACATCCTCATAATGTGTCTTTTATTTCAGCTATAAATCATTTGATGGCATACTTTTTTCCCCTCCACTCCAGATGATTCCAGCTTCTAGGAGTAAGAATTCATTAGGAAAGTATTGCACACACTGTGGTCAGAGATAGAGCGAGAGAAGTGACTTTGTAAAAGATAGCACAACTGTTTATTGAAACAAATGCATGAGCCGTCCACTTCTTAATCGCCCTCGTTGCTAATGGAGACAAAGGATGAAGCAAACATCAATCTTTCACAGAGCACTTTAACTCCACCTTCCACTTGGCATTCACAGCCGTTCTGTCCACTTTTAGAAGATTTTTCATTTATATTCTTGAATAAAGTATGTTCTATTACTCAAGATGGATCAAGATACAAAAGTGCAATATGGGTCCATTGACAAGAGACGGCCTTTAGCATCCAAGATAATAACCTTCTGTTACAGATATGAAGCTAAAGGCGCAGCTGATTGGCCTCGAGCCTCAGCCAATCACACAGCTCTGCCAGCCTCCTGCCAACCCTCTCACAGCAAAGCGGGCAGTTTAAAAGGCTGCCACTTCCTGACAAGCAACGCTTCCTGAGGCTCTTAAACACCCACCACCTCCCCAGCACCTCCTCTGGCTCCCGCTCTGGCTCCCGCTCTGGCTCCCGCTCTGGCTCCTGCTCTGGCTCCCGCTCTGGCTCCTGCTCTGGCTACGCCCCATTCACTCCATATTCTAGCCACCACCAGTGCTTGACCCCGGGGGGATTGAGATCATATTCAGCTGCAATCGATCTCATACTGTAGCTGCAAGTGTCAATGCCGGGGTCAATGCGCCAAACAAATAAATAATTTTATTGCATTAATTGTGTCTTTGGTCTCTTAAGATTGAAACAGGATTTGACATTAAGCTTTGTCTGCCACTTGTCCTTTGGGCTAGTGCAATTTATGTTTTACTTGCCTAATGTCAAAAGTTACTGGCCCAATAATTTCTCAATACACTGAGTTAACAAGAGTTTGGCAATAGAGTAGCACTAACCATGTGGATGAAAATAGATCAAAAATCCACTCTCAGTCCAAAAAGTCAAATAATTACTCACAGGGGCCTTAAGTAGTATGCAAAAAAAAAAAAAAAACAAGATTGCCGGTTGTGATGTGTTCTGTTTGATTTTGTTCCCAATATTTTACTTTTGTGAACAACCAACATTCATTGTTAATGCCAGGGAAAATGTAGGTTCCCTAGCCTTGATTGAGTTTGAGTTTTGGTTGCGCTTCGGTAGCGACACGAGGGAGACCCGCACTTCAAGCTGGGGATGGTCCTATACCCGCTTGTACCCAAATCATCCAAATGCTATGATGATACTATGATAATGAATTTGACGCAGTGGACTAAGCGGCTTTCTTTTGTTCCTTAATAAGTTTTGGGATTTTTTTCCAGTCAAATTACTTTCTTTACAACTGAGTACCTTTAATCAGATAGAATCAGTAGAATGGCAGTCTACGTGCTTACATTTTCTATTCTTAAGAAACGCTTTCACATGGTAAAACATTAAACCTCTTGGTAGATATTCACAAGACCACAAGATCATTTTAAGGGCTAAAAGTATATTTAGGGCTATAACAAAAAAAAATATTGAATTTGTTAATTCAGTAATTTTGTTTAGATTATCAATTAGCCTGATAATCAATAAGTCCTGCATTGCATGGCCTCGTCGTCATTCTACAACCCGAGTCCTGGATCTATATCCTGTCCATCCGTGTGGGCTTCCCTAAGGTTTCTCATTTTTCTCCCACTAGGTTTTTAGAGTTGTTCCTTGCTGATGCAGGAGGTTCTGAGGACAGACATGATGATCCAGGACACTTAACATGTTGTTATGGACATTGGTCATCTACCCCTTAAAGACCAGTGGCTCTATGTTTTATCATTGCATTTCCAGTGTTTGACCTTTTTGATTTTCGGATCTGTGTTGGTGAATTTGATAGTTTTGTAAAGTTCTCTGAGAGTTAGTGCTGTACAACTGGGCGACAGTGGCTGTTGTTGTGTGTGGGCGGCTGCGACTGTAAGGTGCCAAACTGTTGTTGTGTTCTTAGGCAAGACACTTTACCTACATTGCCTAGAATGAGTCTGGTGTGTGTGTGTGAATGGTTGGTGGTCGGAGGGGCCAATGGCTTATACTGGTTGCCTTGCTTCTGTCAGTGTGCCCCAGGGCAGCTGTGGCTGCAGTAGAAGTTTATCACCACTGTGTATGGAGTGATAGAATCTGAAGCGTCTTTGAGGGTCCAAAAATGTGCTATATAAAACCAATGCAGGGTTGTGAGGCGCTTTGTGTTGCCTTGGGTAAGAAAGGCGCTCTTCAAATAAACGTTGATTGATTGATTGATTTATTATTATTATTATTATTATTACGAGTAAATTTATTTGCTGGTCGATTTATAATCAATCCATTATTGATCAGGAAAGCCTGTAAATATGGGATTTTTACATAGTTTTGACAAAAAGAAAATTAAATGATGTGACTTCGGAACATTACAGACGAGTTATCACTGAATTGGTTGTTAATTTTATTCTACTGTTCTGTGCAAGTTTTACATGTATTCACATTATCCATTTTTGTTTTAGAAATAATCACAAAAGTGTTCTAGTCTTCCTGGCCTTTATTCTAGGGTCTTGAGTATATCAATAAATTATTAGGTAACCAAGGTTACCTAATAGCTGACTAGAGATCCTCAACCCAGTATCACACATTCAGAAGTAAAAACATTCCTCGGTGATTGGTTAGTGGACCAAATAGGTCACTAATAAAAAGTGACTATTTCAGATAAGATATCCAACCCAAACAGGTCTCTTGAGACTTGAATCTCATACCATAGATCTACCATGTTCTCAGATTCAGATTAATTTATTTGCCATTTGCAGTAAAACCACATTGGAAAAACTGTGCAAGACTACCCCGGTGTGCACCAGACACACACCAGAGCGCCATCTTTACGGCGCCATGCGACATGTTCTGTTAGCTTTTATGCATAAAATATGTACTGATACACTCAAATACAGATCAGTTATCGATGACCAAAGACTGGCAACCCTCTTAAAATATATATTGTATAAATAACATGCATGATGCGTCCCCTTTAAAATCTTGCACACCTAATGCATGACTGGAGCAAAACAAAGGCGGAGGTTGTGATGGAGGGTAAGAGGGCGTGTGAGATGAACACTCTCTGAGCACCATAAAACACACAGATGTCAGACCAGTGGGAGAGCACGGCTGTGAATCAAACCTACAGCGACTGCTGGGTCAGGGTCGAGCCGAGTCTGGGAACAAACACTGAAAACTCCAGAGGGTCCAGAGAAAGGCTGTCTAGCTCCATGTGGGTCCATAGGAGGGCTGAGGTCCGGCTGGATGTGGGTCCAGAGGAGGGCTGAGGTCTGGTTCCATGTTGGTCCAGCGGAGGTCTGAGGTCCGGCTACATGTGGGCTCACAAGAGGGCTGAGCTCTGGCTCCATGTGGGTTCATGTGTTTTATAAAAGGCAGAAGTGTTTATTTTGTGCTGAACCGTTCTGCTTTATACATCTTTATACAGTCACTGCTTGGTATAAAGTTACAACCACAACACATTCCGTCCTATTTATAGATGTAGTTCAGATGTAGTTCCTCTAGATTGATGATACTTCATGAGTATATACTGTATACACTATACACTACTACTACAAAACAAAACATGAATAGTAAGTATATTAAATCTTTTTTATTCAAAGCACTTGCAACGCAGTGTGAATTAGGCAGCCTTCTTGGGTCATGTCTGAAGCAACGCCTGAAGCATTGAAATTCCAGTCTGAATTTCCACTTTTGTTCCATATTTTCAACGTGTGTGTGCTGGAAAACACTTTTGAAAAGTGTTGCTGTTGAGTTTAGCATACTTTGTTTGTTGTTTCCATTTTGATCGATAACAAAATATACACAAATTTAAACAAAAAAACTAAATTTTCATCCAGCTGCTAGCCCAAGATAATGTATTTGGATAGATCATGTTGAGCTGCAACCACACCTTCAAACTCCAGACAGAGGAATGGAAAAAGAATATTATTTAGAATTGGGGACACAGAATATAATTAGATTTTTTATGTCCATCATTTTGTCATCTATTGAATGAAATATGTATAATTGTCTAAATTAAATGAGTGTGTGTTGACTTCAAGGAACCTTTTTCATAGCTCTATAAACTACAGATTTAACAGAGTATAACACAAGATCTTTTATTGTTTGCAAAAAACGCAGATAATTGTATAATTTTGACTATTCAAACTATTTTCTTCACTCCCACTCACAAAATATGTTTTTAAAATGCTTGAATTATGCAAAATGATGCAATTATGCAAATGTATGGTGATTTGAGTCGTAATAGATTTGCCAGTGGAACAGTTTTAGCAAGATCAGTAGCGTTATTTTCCCCTCATTCCAAAGGAGAGTGTGTTGTTTTCCTATTTTATTGAAAACAACGTATCTTATAACATATGCACGCTTGTTTTTAAATCCGTCAATATATACTTCATTTGAGGGGTCAGAATCTCTTCATCTGTTACAGTATATAATCCGGGCCCATTATTGCTCCAAACGGCACGCATGTCTCATTCTGAGGAGATGGTTTCTGGCCGTTCCTCTTTCTCCTCTCAACCGATTGTTGTGCACAGGTGCCTCTGGGTCAGGGCGTTTGTCACACTGATTCTTGCTGTAATCACACGTTTCTTCGGCTCTAAGTCTAGACGCTTGGGGGGGCCGTCTTTCCACTGCGAGGGGACATAGGGTTGGAGGCGTTTTTCTAACACCATGGGAATCCAACAAACTTTCTCTGATTATTGAAACCCCCTAGGGATATGTTATCAATGGATTCAGCTGAGAGGTTTGTTCCCTAGTTTTAATGACTACCATAATTCATTCAACTTCTGTTCCATAGCTAACAATGCAAAAAGGTTTATTAATTGGCAGTGGAGTGGTTATTTATTTATTGTTTATTTGATTTGGACAGTACATGTTCAGATTCAGATTCAGATTAATTTATTTGCCATTTGCAGTAAAACCACATTGGAAAAACTGTGCAAGACTACCCCAGTGTGCACCAGACGACACACGCCAGAGCTCTTGCCACAGGTGTGGTGTGTTAATGTACACACCTCTCCTGATTGTAGCTTTGGAAGAATTTCCATCCGTTGTCCCACACACTCACTCATTCACCCTGAAATATTGCACATGGGTAGAACATGCAAACCCCATACAGAAAGGCCCTGCCCCATCTTGCTGTAAAGCACAAACTCTAACCGGGTAACGCTCACGCATCACAGCAGGATGGTCATGGGTTCAATCCTGTGTCGGCCTTGGTCTTTCTGTGTGCAGTTAGCTTCTTTCTGTGTCTGGGTGGATGTCCTCCAGGTGCAACTGTTTACCCCACATACTCTCTCTAATTGGACTACATATCTCCTTCTAATCTGACTACATGACTCTCCTGGGTAGCAGTGGCAGTAAACTCAAATACTCTCTGATGCTCTTTCATATCGGCAGAATTCAAGTCACCATCAAACACTTTCTGGATTGTGGTTAAAGGTAAAGGTAAAGGTGCACTTTATTTATCCCTGTAAGGCTTTCCATCCGCGGCATCCTCTGCCATCCTGATACCATTACCACCCATCTCCAGATGTTGATGCTTGGCTTGGTCTGGACTACCGGAACTGGAGGAATTACCTATTGTGCAGCATTTTAGTGGTAGACAAAACCTACGCAGGCATGGGGAGAAAAGGCCAACTCCACTCAGAAAGACACAGTTCCGACCAGATCTTTTTGCTGAGAAGTGATAGTTTTACCCACTCAGCCATTGTGCACCCGAGCGGAAAGACGCAATGAGGCCCTGCTGAGAGTGTTAGGGCCATATTAAACTATATTTACTTCCCATGCTTATTGTGCAGCCGCAAATGTATCTCACATGGTTTTTTTCAGCTCATTGTGTGCAAAAGTTCAAGAGCTTTTTCGGACTATCCATTTCATCCATCCATTTTCCACTCTTTACGAATGCACAGTCAGAGCAAGACTTTCATCTCCACTCACTTGTCCTCCATCTTATCGGCAGAGATCCTGAGGCATTTTCAAGCCAGTTGAGAGACAGATCCCTCCAGTGTATCCTGGGTCACCATGTCCTGCTCTGAACACCAGGGAGGAGTCCAGAAGAGAAATTAACATTCATTACAAAATCGGATACAGCTACATTTTTCAATGTGTGAGCCAGAATTGAGAATAAACTATTAACTTAACTTAATTGTATCCACCATATAGCTGCACCTGCTTGTAAACAGGAGACCCATCATAAAATGTATCGAGCCGAAGGACACCTGAGCCTCGGACATTATCCATGTTGTAATCATGTGGTGGGGGATTATATGAGAAACAATAAGTCAAAGCCTCGGCCTTGGACAGGAGCCTGTCCTTGTGCGCTGAAGACAAACATCCCCCTGTGCCTCGTAACTGAGCTCCGTTATAAAGCGTGGTGATTCCATATTGATTAGGCTTCAGCTCATGGCGCTTATTGTTCCAGCCGCTTTAGCCATCCCCGGGGCCCCGCACGCACACTACATTATCTGCTCTCCAGCGCCCCTCAGTCCTCCAGAGCCCAGGATGTCCTCCCAGATAAAGCCATTATAGGCCCAGGCTCTGTTTATGTCTTTCTTATTTCTTCCATTGTATCCATTGGTTTGGGTCAGCAAGATTGGAGATGGGTTTCATGGCTGGGCATACAGTAATTCAACTCTAAAGTCAAGATTTGTTCTGCTAAATCAGGGGTGTCACATTTCATTTTGGCTGGAGGGTGAATTTAAAAAATGAGAGGCTGTTATTTTAGATTATTGTTTATAAACCAGTGTTCTGTGGCACGTTAGTGTACCTTAAGATGTTGTTTGCTGTTCCTTTGGCAATAATACAATATCATGTATTAGGTCAAAATTATGTGAGAAGATTGATTATTTGATTGTCTATATGATACACTTTGACGAGAACGACTATACATTGTTAATAAAGTCTGCAGAGATTGTCTAAGTGGTCTCCCGCTCAGAGCTCTCCGTCCTCATGGGTTTAGTTTCCCTGTTCTGTGCTGAACTTACCACTGCTGCTTCTTATATGTTCTGGTCTCTGGATGCAGCGTTTCTACAGTTTCTAGTGCGGCCTGTCACAGAGTTTATCGCTTTTTTTTCACGAGTTATGGAAAATATACGAGAGCACAATATTTGGCCCTTCAGCTGTAAACTGGAACCTCTGCTTCACTGCTCGTTCATGGGAATAGAAGAGGCTGGTAGTTAACCCTGGTAGTTAACCCATAATTAATTTGATTATTTCCATCTCCTCTATAAGAGATGCTTGATATATAATTGATGTGTTTGCCGTGTCTCTCCGATATGCATTGACGGCTTTGTTTGTCATTATGTCTTTCACTTAAAATAGGAAATCACAAGCCTCTCAGTCTGAGCATTCATTTCAAATAGACTGCTGCTGTACTTAAGCTTGGAGTGGTATAGGGAATAATCACAATGCTCTCCTCATACTTCACTTTCACTTTTACAGGTGCTGATCGAAGCCACCGTTTCCCGGGAGCGAAAAGGCTACATTGCTCTTGACGACATCATGGTGGTCAACTATCCCTGCTGTAAGTGCCACGTCTCACAATGAAAACAATTGTCCAAACATGTAGGAAGACATGAACCTTAATCTGCTGAAAGTTAGTGACTTCCAGGGATTACCCATAGATGTAGACTGTAGACTGGAGGTGACTGGAGGATGCATTGGGTGACAATCAGAACTGCCACCCAATGCTCGTAGCACCAGTCCATCACTGATCCTCCTGCAGGTGGTGAGTCCATGGAAGGATGACTGCTCCTTCAGCAATGACACAGCCTTGGTCTTTCATCAAGGGATTCATGCAACGTGCGGTTAAATATCTTGCCCAGGGACACAACAACAGCAGACTTCAGTTCATTCAACATTATACAATTTGGTCATTTCTGATATAAGGTCATATCTGCACCTCGGCAAACTTGAAAGTCTGATCATCTTTCCCAAACTAAAGTTTTAAGTTTTGTGAAATGAGTGCAGTCTTAATTTCTCATACGGGCTTTGAAATATAAGAGGCCACAAATGTATTTAATTTCTGCTATAAATAAAATGTACGGCAGCGAATAATAGGCTCATTCTGCGATGGATCTCTTGGCCCAGCTCATAAGAAAGAGTTTTGGGGTTTGGGGGTAAAATTGAAGTCAAAGCAGCGCATAAATAGGCAGGTAAAGAAGAGTAATGGCTGATCGACCTTTGATATGAGCACTGCAGCGAGGCTCAGGGCGTCCCACTGCAACGCGGCAATATTAAACCTAGTGACACCCAAATGCCAGCTCATCTGAAAACACACCTGCCTTTGTGCCTTCGAGCCATTCCGTGACAACCAAACGTATGTGTTAATCAGTCCTACTGCATGCAACTTTCCTACAAAGGCACATTTCTGCATTATTCACAAGGCACGCCGCATCAAAGCTCATGAAAATGCATTCTCTCTGGGATGTAACCTCTGCCTCTCTGCCGCGGTGAGGCTTTGTGCGTGTCACTGGGGGGAAAGAGACTGATTCCAGCGCAGTTGTCGAGCCCTCGAGCTGTGTGTGTAAAACATGAGCGCCCCGGAGTTTAAAGAGTGGAATGGACGTGCAGCCGAGCGGCAGGGCGCCTGTCGGGTCACACTGTGTTTAACACCTCAAGCTTTGGGCTGCAGCTGATAAGTGGCTGCTGTGAGTGATACAGCTTTCACTGGCCGTTATGGGCTCGCTAGATGGAGCTAATTTTGATTTTCATTTTGTTGCTTTTCCAGTTAGTATTGTTAACCTTAAAGGACACATATTATGCAAGTGTTCTGTTGTGCTTTCTCCAAGTTACACTTTTGTAATGGTACTACATGAATAATTTACCACAAATTGTTATCTCATTGAATTCATGTTAATTCATGAATCACACCACACACGCATATAGACCTGCGGGTGCGGGACCGCCTCGGACTACTTTTGGACGCTTATATTTTGTATGTTCGTTTGTGCGTTACTTTTGTCCCATTTCATCAGTGATTGTTGTACAGCTTACAAGAAGTTGCACTAATTCTAATTTTTGCATACAAATCAGATCGCAAATAAAACTAGAGGGCTCTGTGGCAGGAGAGCGTAGGGGAAATGAGAAGCTTGTGAGCGAGTTGGGGGGCGGTGCTAAACATTCAAACATTGCAGAAACGGGTATAGCTCCTTTAAGTAGATTTAAAGTTTGCCCCACAAGCATAAATAGTAATATCTATTCAAAATATATACCCCTGATTTTACCTCATTGAATTATGTGTGTTTACAAAGCACTAGTGAAAGGTTATCATGGCAAAGGGTAAAGTGTTGATTACAACAGGATGCCGATGGTCAGGATTGGCTCAATGGCAGGACTAGTCTAGAATGGAATTTCTCACTACTTCCACCTCATTTTGAAAAATTCTAGTCACTTATGTAGTTATGTTTATCTATTTATTTTCAAATTACTTTAAAAGGATTTCACATGATAAAACAAAGTAAATATTTTCATGTTCAAGGTGAAACAGGAAGACAAAAAAGGCATTATATAGTTCCTTAAGATGTTTCTGACATTGTTCATACTTTAATTATCCACTT